TCAAACTTTGCAAATCAGCATAAGTTGTTTGGTTAACCTTGAAATCTTTGTTTGAATGTATTAAGCATGTCAAATATAATAAAACTAGAATCTGTCATCAACAATTTCATCAACTTTGTTAACTTACTTGGTGTTATAAAATATTTACAGTCATTATTAACCACTAATCCTATTTAAACGAAACAAAACTAACCTTGAGGGCAACCTATAAATTCTTAGATGGTTTTCGAGAGTCCTAGATCACTGTTAAAATAAATTTGTAGGAAAATAATAACCTTAAAAGATGAATTTAAGTTATGCGAAGATTTACAAGCTTAAGAATCTATTATGCTTCAACATACCTAAAAGCTAGGCAGACCCCTTGCATTGGTGTTTCTCACACATAACTCCTAGATCCCATACTATCCTTCCAACATTGAATAATACTCTCCACGAAGCTATGCTACTTTTGAAACAAATCAAGAGGAGGATAACAAAGATTTTTTTTCAAAACAGCGTGCCTCATTTTTGCCAATGCTATAATCGAAGACCTACCAACAATCACCAACATCAATATAAGCCTCACTAACTTCCAAAGTACAAAAGATAGTTTCCTTCGTCTCAACAACAATCATATCAACCTCCATGATTCTCTCAAAATCATACCTACAACAACAGTTTCAGACTCTTCCTCTACAATCTAAAATTTCATTCATTCCAGCTACTACTATAGCTTATAACTTAAAACTCCATACAAGTAAAATTTGTTAATCCATTTCATACGAGTATATTAACTTATAACTTAAATAAAACTACTTAATGTTATAATATCCAAATGTTGAAAGTTTACATATTAAATAAAGAAGTTTAATGTCTACCACATGATTATCATGCTTGGCTTGAGTCACCAGGTTCGTAAATGGATTAGCTAAATTTACTTGTATGAAATTTAGGATCACTAACTTCACTTGTTTTGACAACATCATGAACAAAACTGAAAAGTTCTACTAGAATATATCGATTACCATTAGTCATTCTCAGTTCCGTTGTGAGTACCAGAGTACCAACAATGTCATAGTACATCTACATGGGTATTCCAGTGTTGTGTACTATTCTTTATTCAACAAAGAACTTTATGATCTAGATAGCTTCAAGAGCTGCCTATGGAATTGTAATATATTCTAATTTTTTCATAGACTACACTACCAATCTCTGTTAGGAAAAATCTTTATTTAAAAAGAACACACACTCCTACTACAATCGAGAATCACACTAATTAATTTGGAAGGTCGTATAAGTATAATAATTTACATTGATCTCATGATCCAAATCTCTATAATCTTACGAATATATCTACGATCTTTAAAAGTATTTACAAATATCTTATACACTAGTCCATCGACATTCAAGTATATTCTATTGATATCTACTAGTTATGATCCAAGCATAAGAGATATTTGTTTTAGTATTAACACGTCATACATGATGACTCCAATGTCATAAACCAAAGAGACTCCATTCATGATTCTTACATCATCATATGTGTTCAGGAATTGAGACTTGCTCAATATAATGTCATGTTGCATCGGAAAGGTTCCTGTTATGATTTAATGTATTCAAAACAGTTTAAGCAATCCAATATACACAATCGGAAAACAAATATTAAAATTAATTTCCAAAGAGTGGATCCATTTAGATCTATGATCAACAAAGAAGACAACGATATGGGATGAAAATAATTTTACCTTTAGGTTGTAGATAGATCCTCTCGTATGAAAATTTTGATCGAAATTGATCACCTCATTCAATATCCACAAATAGGAATGTAATGTGCTACTAGACACCAATCAACAAAACAAGAGCCACCTTCTTTCTTTCTTGTGGTCATGGTTAATGATAAAGAGGATGAGAGGTGATAATTTTAGGTTAAATAGAGGTTAGTTTGATACTCGTGAAAAGTCAAGAAGGCCACAAGTCTTTACCGAGACTATTGGATTTTGAATATTGTAAAGGTTAGATATGGGAAAGGCAGGTTTAATATCTTGCGAGTAGTAATGAAAACCGTAAGTCTTTAGCGAGGTTGGCCTAAGTTGGTATCACTACTATATAAGACTATGGAAATAATAAAACCTTATGAAAGACTAGATGTGCGTGAATAAATGTATTTTTCTTTGGGTAAAATTTATATCTTGAGTTTAACAAAGTTAAGTTTGCAGAGTTAACAATTGTTTTCTTCTTTCTTAAAAAAATAGTCTTTCTCTGTGTTCTCAATATAGGGCCATTTTAGTGAAAAACTCAATCTTTTTTATGTTTTTTTCTTTTAAAAACGTCAAAAATAGATAATTCAAAAAAAAAAAAAAGATAACCCTAATAGTTAATAATGAAGATAAATATAAAGGATTCCGTTCTTAGAGTTTTTTAAGGAAAGAAAAGGAAAATGAAAACTATATTCATTTCCTTCCTTTTTTTCCTTCCCAATCATCCCAAATACAAGTAAAAAAAAATGATGAAAATTAAACCTTTTATTATTCCTCACATTTTCTTTTCTTTCATTCCATTCCCCTTTCTGAAAAATAAAACTCAAGAGCACTATTTTCATCCCATTTCCTTTTCTTTCCCTACATAAAAAAAATAAAAAAACACACATTTCCTTCCATTAGAACAAGGAGTAATACTTCGCTCTTGAGTTAAATTAAACAAAAAATGGAAAAAAAAAATCGAAAAGATTTTGAGTAATCATTGCTCATGAATGTATTTATTTGAAAGAAAAAAAAGATTCATGATTGTCATTTTAAAATTATTTACCAAAAGATTGTATATCTAATTTTCGTAAATTAAAAAAGATAAAACGCTAAAATGACCAAAGCGACTCTCCCTCACACCATTTAATCATTTATGTTTTCTCCCTCTCTTTCTTTTATGCCTGAGCCATTTGTAATGTTAAACCAGAGGGAACTTTGAGATGGATCCCAGGGCAAAGATGATTGTGATAATGCTTCTGATAAGATAGAGATGATGATGGTGATAATGATTCCATTGTTTCTCTGGCGGTTGTTAGGGAAGAATGCATATGCATCGATGTTGATCATGATTTCGTTCATGACATCAATTGAATCATTGGTTATCTAGGAAAAAGAAATTTTTTAATTTTTAATTTTATTAGTATCAACTACAAGTTGAGACGATACCAATTCTAAATCAAAAAGAGAGTCTTCCATTATATGCATCATGAAGTCAAAGATTGCGGGTCTTCAAATATGAAGTTATTCTACTTTTCATGATATGAAGAGGCTTAAATAATCACATATCATGTTAAAATAAATCCGCGTTAGCGGATGGGTTAACATTACATGCAATTCAAAGTCTCTTTAAGAACATATTTTTTTATGACGAAATGAAGATACTAAGCAATAATTGCAAGGAAAACATTATCTTTTCTTCTTTCCGTGACTGATTTTTCTAAGCAAGATTTTGTGTTAATCAATAAAAAAACACCTCAATGGCTTTGCTGGATTCATGCTTCACAAGTTCTTGAAACGTTATATTTGGATTGTGAAGAGTGGCGGAGCTAGATGGGGTAGTATCCCAAAAAAAAAATTATTATTATTATTATTATATATATATATATATATATATTATATATATATATATATATATATATATTATTTGTAAACATTCTCCATGTTATTGGACCCCCAACTAAAGAGATTATAACATGTTTTTAATGTCCGATATTGGATAACTATATATATATGCACACAAATAGGTGTGTATCTATATTTGTTTTTATAAAATCGTGTTTGTTTATATTTTTTTTTATAAAAACGTGTTTGAATAATTTTTTATATAATACGTGTTTGTATACATTTTATAAAATCGTGTTTGTATATATTTTATAAAATTGTGTTTGTATATATTTTATAAAATGTATACAAACACGTATTATATAAAAAACTTTTCAAACACGTTTTTATAAAAAAAAATGTAAACAAACACGATTTTATAAAAAAAATATAGATAAAATAGTTGTTTGTATACATTTTTTTGTAAAGTACGTTTTTGTATACATTTTTTTTATAAAAACGGATTTGTATATATTTATATACTTAATAAATACCTATTTTTATAACTAGATATTTCATATACAAAAAACTTTTTTAAAAAAGTTTTTATATAGAAAATATAAGATTTTTATGTGAAAATACATTTTTTTTGTATAAATATGATTTTATAAAGAAAAAACATATTAGAAACAATTGTTTGAGAAAAAAAGTTGTAAAAAAAAACTAAAGTTAGGATGAATTAATAATAAATTCTAAAATTTGGGCAAAAAGAGTAAAGTTTGGACCAAATTGTAAACAAAATTTTTAAAAAAATCTGGGCCAAAATGTAATAAATTGGATCTGTTGAAAATGTAATTTTTGAAATGACCTGTTGACCGGGTCAAAGGGTTAAACTGAATACGATTACCGGTATTTGGGACTTAATTGAATAAAAAAATATATAAGGAATAAATCGATTATGAAGCCAATATATAGGGACTTTATTGTAGTTTTCTTTTATCAAATATCTTTTAGATTTTTTTTGACTTTTTGAAAAATTAAAAGTCCAAAAATCATTTTAAAAAGAAACCCAAACACCCCTTTAGTTTTTGAAAATGAATTTTTAAGAAGTTGCAAATTCTAACTTTTTGAAACAACTTATGACTTATTATATTTACAAAAGAGATAAAAAAAAACAAAATTAAACCAAATACTTTTTAATTTATTAACTTAGTGACTTTTATAACTATAAAAGGTAATTCAAACATTTTTTAAACTCATTTTTCAATGTTTATAAATCAATAAGTCTTTTTGATAAAAATAAATTTTAACTTTAAAAATCGAAAAAACTCTTTAGAAAGAAAAGAATCAATTCATTTTTTATCTCGTTTTATATATTCTTTTCTTCCATTTTTTCTCCTTTTCTCTCTTTATATATTCTTTTCTTTCATTTCGTTTCTTTTTCCCTCATTATATATTCTTATGTCCAAGTAGTTTACCATTTCATTATTTTGATAATGAGAAAGGTTTTGGGGCAAGAAGTAGTTGACGACGTTTCCATCGTCTGAGTTTCGTAGTTGAACATTCTTTCCAATTGTACGGAGCATATCATGGTGGCAAGAAAGTTCCTCGTTCACCACCAAGATTCCAACTTCGACGTCGACTACGACACCGAAGATGGTTTTGAAGTCTTCAAATTCCAGTTGTTTTCCCTCACGGCAGTTCCTCCAGATGAGCAAAAGGTCGATCATCTTCTCTTTAGTTACTAATTGGAATTATGATCTCCCGATAAGCTGTATGTCTATGGAATTATACGTTTACTGATGATTAATCCGATTTGTACTTGAAGATACTCGGAGGTGACGACGATCGAGTTATTTCCGATGACTCTGATCTCATTGCAATATCCGATAAGCTTAGATTGGTTTCAATTAAAGACGAAAACCCTCAATTGGGTTCTGAGATAGTGAAATCTGATGAAGAACTAGCTCGAATGTTGCAGGTATGGAAAGACCACCATTGATCAAGCTCAATTTTGTCAGCACATTATTAAAATTAGGTATTTCTTACCTATTTGTGTAAGAAATGCATACCCTAGAGTTGACAAAAAGTGAATTTTTTGTTTCAATTGAGTGCTTCTTATGATTACAGGCAGAAGAAGAAGCGCTTATGTTTCAACAGTTTGCTGTTAGTCAAGATAGCAGGCAGTTTGAACAGAGAATCAGGCCTTATGTAGATCAGGTTCTTCTGGTAATATCCAATCTCTCTGTTCTCTGTTATACAGACTAAACACTATGAAGTTAACACCATGTGTGTGATGTTATGTCCATGTAGTATGAAGACTCACGTCGCCAAGAGGCTGCAAGGAAGACAGTTCCTGTGGAGAAGCTTGAGGAGAAAGCACTAGTTGCTTTAGCTAAGGTTCAAGTTTCCATGTTTTAATTCTGAAGTGTGAAATAAATTTCAAATTTGAGTGTGGAAAAGAACTAGAAGCATTTTCCCCCTTAAACAAAGTTACAATATGCTTAGTTTTGGTTGCTTTTTGACTTAGACCTAACATATTGAGGCTATTACCTTCTTTGTAGTTCTGAGAACATTGATTTACAGTTTTCATTACCTTGGCTTCACCATTGGCCATAATTCCATTTATCTTTTCAATAATCTAATTGTTTTTTCCGAATATTTTGCACCTAAGTTGATATCTTTCATGACAGATATAACCTTTTTGAGCATAAGAATTATCGAAGCCTGATATGTCATTTTTCTTATATGTATGGTCTTTTTTTTCTTTTTTTCTTTTCAGGAGGGGAACTTCAAGCCATCAAAAAGTGAGCTTGATCATGCATTCCTACTGCAACTTCTTTTCTGGTTCAAACAGACATTTAAGTAAGTTTTTTACTTTCTGCTCTCCACTTTTGAATTCTATAAAGTGCGCAATATGCGGATTCTTTGACTCATTTATGTTGTAGCATTGACCCAATAAGAATAACTGAAAGCACAATGCCATGAATAATTATTTTTGCAAAGTCCATTTCTGTTTCTTGCATTTAGCCTTAAGTTTTATCATTGTAATCTAAAGTTATGTTACTTATATCTTTGTAATTTCTTTTTGTAAAAATTTTAGGTGGGTAAATTCACCTCCTTGTGAAAGTTGTGGCAATGAAACTGTCAATCAAGGAATGGGTGCACCAAATTCTTCAGAAACTGCATATGGAGCCTCTCGAGTTGAACTTTATCGGTATAAAGAAAAGATTATTTCTTGTTTAATTTAATCCCTTTCTTTTCTTTATTTTCTCATATGTATTTTTCTTAATTGGATCAGTTGTAGTTCATGTTCAAGAATCACCCGTTTTCCACGGTATAATGATCCTATAAAGGTACACAAATTTTCTTAATTTCTTAAAATCACTTTCTGATTCTTTAAACTCATGTTATCTTTCATGGTGTAGCTTCTTGAAACAAAGAAGGGTCGATGTGGGGAGTGGGCCAATTGCTTCTCACTCTATTGCCGATCCTTTGGCTATGAAACTCGTCTGGTAAGAGTCTAGGAACTGTTTGGTAATTGTTACAAAATCCGGGGGGACTTTTTGCTCTTAGTCAAAACTTGAGGGGTTGATTGTAATTAGAGAATGGTTTCCTTCTCAGATATTGGATTTCACAGATCACGTGTGGACAGAATGCTATTCAATGGTTTTGGGAAGGTAAATTTGACACCAAAAACATCAATTTCATGCTCTTTTTTACTCTAAGTTGCATGTTTTATTTTTATATTACAGATGGATGCATCTTGATCCATGTGAAGGAATATATGATACCCCTTTACTATATGAAAAAGGGTACTTTCTCAGTTTCTCTCCATTACCTTTTCATATTATGTCATTGAATTTCAGTATCTAGTTGTTTTGTCAAGGGCAAATTGTGGAAAATAGCAATCAATGCTATGTGGCATTTTTCATTTATTTTTAAAGATTCAATTAATTGTTTTAATTAATTCTTTTTATTTACTTATGCAAACAATCGTAATTTTTCATGGCCAAAGGTTTTTGTAGAAACACAAAACCCATAAAAGTTCTCTCCATTATATTATAGTATATATTAAAAGTAAAGTTCTTAGGAATAGTATAGTTTTATCCTTTTGGACTTTTGCCACAAAAGTTTCTTATTTTACACTTTGGCCACAAAGTATAGTTTTAGGGTTTTAGACTTTATCCACAAAAGTTTGTTAATTTACATTTTGGTCACAAAACTTTCTTACAAAAATGGTCCTTACCTAAATACCTAATACAAAGTTTACAGATTACACCTAATATCATCCTAGTTGACATTAACAAGCAAGATATTAAAAAAAAAAACACATCATTGTTTGTTATGTACAAGGTAAGATGATGTGGCTGATGACATGGCAACAACCGTTGCCACGTCATCATGTTTATAGGTTACAATTTACATATTACAAGTTGGTTGACATTGTTGGTAAAAAAACAAAGTATGTTGCCTATTTTGGTAAAAATGGTAAATTACATTATTATTTATATTTACAATGACTTTTTTTTTCATTGTAGGTGGAACAAGAAATTGAATTATACAATTGCAATTTCAAGAGATGGAGTGTATGATGTCACTAAACGTTATACAAGAAAGTGGCATGAAGTTCTATCACGTAGAAACCTAATCACAGAGTCTTCTCTACCCAATGTTTTAAAGAATATAACAAGAGAATGTAGAAAGAACATGAAAATTACCATTTCTACCCTTGATGAACGTGACCAAAATGAAGCAAAAGAGCTTGAAAAAAACCTACATTCTCAAGAAAATGACACCATCTCATTACCAGGGAGACTAAGTGGGGATAAAGAATGGAGAACATTAAGATCAGAACTCGGTTCCACTTCTTTAAGTTCATCTTCTTGTCCAATTAGAAAAATTACAGATGATCATGTTTCAAAGATCTATGATGCATTCTCTCCATTTATATCTCGATTGGTTGAATTATCTTCCAAACATAAGGCGATTGAAGCTCTTTGTTTTGTGAGAGGGGTTTTGGTTGATCTCAAAAAGAGTTCTTTTAAAAGAAGGAGAGTTGTGATTGATTCAAATGAGTTCTTTATTCGGGAACTTTTGCCTTCTTTTGAAATGATGCTTGATGCTCTTTCTTTGAAAAGTAATGTGGAAGAAAATGGAAGAAAAGTTGAAATTTGTTTAAGGGATGATCCTGTGAGAACATCGATTGCATTGCCTGTTGTTTTTCATGCACTTGATGATGTGGTTTATAATATAAAAAAATGTGATGAGTTTATAAAATCTTCGGTTTCTTGGCCTTTAGTGAAGGTGAATAGAATATGTTGTGGGTCTGTTCTTGCTAGTGGAGAGGAGCTACCTTTTGGAATTGTAAGTAACTTATTTTTTTGAATTAATTGTTTATCAACTTTAGATATTTTGTTTGATGAATTTGTATTGATATAATTTTGAAAAATTGTAGGCGACATCTGCATTTGATGGAACCCGTTTGTCTAAATGGGAAGAACCAAATGGAGCAAAAGGTGTACACTTTTATAAATTTTCTTATAATCATTTAATCTACAATAAGAAATTTCCAAAATTATTTTTCATTATTTTCCACAAATAGGTAGAAGCATTTTTCATATTGTAATTTTATTATGAGATTTCATGGTACTTCTTTCAATTTAGTTTTTTCATTTTGGTAAACAAAATTTTCAAAGTGATGAACAAACATTTCTTTGATTACTTGTTAAATATATATAATTTATTTCTAATTAACATCAGATGATCATATGTAACTTTCTAACATGATTAAAGTTTATTTGTGTAAAATAATATTTTTATATTTATAGCATCAGACTTCCATTCTCTATTACATTTGTTCACTTCTACTTTTTTTTTTTATTAAGACATTGTAATATGAAAAGTCGCTCATTTCACAATTTAAAATGTGTAAACTAATTAAAGGATTTATTAAATATTGTAGGGTGTTGGTTAATATACAAAGCAAAAGATGCTGAGGTCTATGAACTGTGCTCATATGAATTCATGTCAGCCAACGATGCTCCAGAAAGAGATCCAAGGGACTGGTATGTTTGTTTTACAACCTTTTTTTTTCAATTTTCATACTTTGGCCACACCATTATCACCATTTGGCAAAAATGGCCCCTCCACTATGACACTTGAATAGTAGCACACATTTGCAATCTAATGTCTGTGAAAGATCCAACCAAGTTGATATTTAAAAAAAAAAAAAAATCATTCAGGGTAATTGAAGGTAGTGATGATGGAGGTGGCAGCTGGCGTATTTTGGATGAACAAACTTCTCAGATGTTTGACAACCGTTTCCAGCGAAAAGCATATAAGGTCAAGCTGCAAGGATTCTTTACAAATGTATTCAGGTATATATATATATATATATATATATATAATATATATATATATATATATATATAATATTCTTTTTGATCCCCCTATCTTACCAAGTAAAGTAAGTTTTCACAACTTTACATTGCTAATTGCAAGAAATAGCAACATTACTTACATAGTTACATGTATCTATGTATTATTAGTATTGTACTAATTGAAGAAGATGCAGGTTACGGTTTCTAGCAGTTCGTGATGGACAAACGAATTCACGGTTCCAAATAGGAAGCATCGACTTATTCGCAAGTGGAAATGTGAAGTAAGAGTTTTTATAATGAACAAATAACAGTTGGAATTCAAGTAAAATGTTGTAATGAATCCTTTCAACATTCCCTTCCTCTATTTTCTTCTTATACAATATATAGTATTGTGGGGAATGAGGATGGAAAAACTTTAAGTTGAGCACCATAAAGAGTGTGTAGAGGTTCTTGTCTTGGATTACTTTTGTTGATGGAGAGTTGTAAGATCAAAATAATAAATACATTTAATATTATCATTATGTGGATTAAGGGTGTGTTTGGCTGAATTAGCCGGTAGTTGGAAGCTTGTAGCTGGTAGCTTTAAGCTGTAGTTTTTATTTGGGAAAATGTGAGTTTAGCCCTACAAACTTTTCTCGTTTGTTTAAAAAAGTCACTTAATATTTTTCTATACTCTAGGGGAATTAAGTAGATGTTTACCTGTTAAGTTAGTCTTTTTACCCATTATAATAAGTTTGTATTGCCATGTGTTAACTAGTTGGTGATGTGGATGCTACAGTGGCAACCGGCTCGGTGCCACTGTAGCACCCTTGGTCCCCATTATATAAAAAGTGCAAACCCTAAATGAGAAACCCTTCGACTTTGTTACCCAAAAAGATATTTGTTTCCACATTGTCGTCAATTGTTTTTTTTTTCTACTATTAGATGTCTGGTTCAGAACCCTTATTGTGATTTTCGAGAGGCGGACCCCACTGATTATGAGCTACTAGCCATGAAAACTCAGGTTGAGCCAGAGCAAACGAAGGCGGACATGCAAGCGCAGTCGGCGGAGTTGAAGGCACGGATTGATGTGATGAAGAGGATTATGATGGTGGTGTTGGTGTTGGTGGTTGGAATGGCAGTAGGGTTTGGGGTTATTGGTGTTGGGTGGATGTAGATGTATGGGTAAAAGATGGGTGTGGTTAAACACACCCATTTAAAAAGTTAGTGACACAATTATTACCTATGGGAACACTAAAATCCATGAAATACATTTACGTTTATGGTCTTTTACTTATATACACTATTTTATTTTCATTCCTTTAACATTTAATATATTAAATTCACTAAAATCCATGAAATACATTTACGTTTATGGTCATTTACTTATATACACTATTTTATTTTCATCCCTTTAACATTTAATATATTAAATTTATATCCCCTAATACACTCCTTACTTTTGCAAGAACAATTAAAACCATTAGATAGAATTAATATTACATTACTTATATATTATTTACTGTTTTCTCCCGTTTGATTTTCTTAAAAGTTAATTCATTTTAATGTTATATTTTAAATAAGTGTATTATTTTGTTTTAATGATGAAATAAAAAATAAAATGGAAAAACTTTTTAAATAAGTGTATTATTTTGTTTTATTAGTTTTATTTTTGAACATATTTATCTTGGACAAAACTTCAAAAATGGTCCTTGTGGTTTCCGAAAATATCAAGTTTAGTCCCTAAGTTCAAAAAACCTCACAGATGGTCCCTGTGGTTTCAAAACTTTTAACAAATGGTCCTTCCGCCTAACTCCGTCAGCTTTCTACCGTTAAGTGAGGGGCATTTTCGTCATTTCAATACACAGGGACCATTTATGAGGTTTTCTCTATTTAAAAAAAAAGAAAAAAATATAATTATTTAATTAAAGGGCCCCACCTCTCTCTCTCTCTCTCTCTCTCTCTCTCTCTCTCTCTCTCTCTCTCTCTCTCTCTCTCTCTCTCTTACGCCCTGGACCAGTGGTAATCGACCCACCATCTTCTCCATACGACGGCGGTATGTGGTGGCTATGTATGGCGGCTGTGGCGGCAGTGTGCAGCAGCGCTGCTCTGGGACTTCTGCTAGTTCTTTTCTGCCTAATCTCGACGGGAAAGATGAGCGGGGGGAGGGGAGAAGCCTGCTGGTGGTCGGTCGACACTTACGGTAGCGGGGATTGGTGTTGCTCGTCGATACAGAGAGGAAGACGAGGTGGCAACCGGTGTTTCTTGGCGGAGGTGATGGCAAGTGGATGCTGGAGTGGAGGCAATAGGTTGAAGGAAGCAATGGTGTCGGGGTGTTTGATGGTGGTGGGTCACGACAGGAGGAGGCGGAGAGGCTGCCACAGACGACTATGGTGGCCCTCTTCGTTGGTGGAGTGAGAACCAGAGAGAGGGAGTGAGTTTGGAGATGAAAAGGAGGTCGAGGGAAGAGATTCAGACGGCAGCAGTTGTAGCGGTGGTTGGGATGTCGCAAAACAACAGGCAGTCGCCTTTTTCCGGCGACCCTTTGTGGGTCTTGTTCTAGTTGATGGCAGCGACAAAACAAAGGGAAGAAGAGTAGCAGTGAATCACAAAGGTGTGAAGATGGGTGGTAGTTTTATGGTGTTTTGTACTCAGAGAGAGAGAGAGAGAGAGAGAGAGAGAGAAGAGAGAGAGAGGAGAGAGAGAGAGAGAGAGAGAGAGAGAGAGAGAGAGAGAGAGAGGGTGGGGCCCTTTAATTAAATAATTATATTTTTTTTCTTTTTTTTAAATAGAGAAAACCTCATAAATGGTCCCTGTGTATTGAAATGACGAAAATGCCCCTCACTTAACGGTAGAAAGCTGACGGAGTTAGGCGGAAGGACCATTTGTTAAAAGTTTTGAAACCACAGGGACCATCTGTGAGGTTTTTTGAACTTAGGGACTAAACTTGATTTTTTCGGAAACTACAGGAACCATTTTTGAAGTTGTCTTTATCTTGTGTAATTTTGAATAAAAATAATCCATCTCATCTATAAATAAATTTTACATGTATGATCCAGTTTTTTTTTTAATTCTAATCCTTTTTTTATTTTTAACATAAATAATGTTATGTATATGTTGCTATATTTTACATTTATCTTTTATTTGAATATATATATATATATATATATATATATATATATATATATATATATATATATTACAACAATACAGTTTTTTAAAAAAAATACGATTTTAAAAAATAATACAATCTGAATATTATATATATATATATATATATATATATATATATATATATAAACAATACAATTTATAAAAAAAATAGTTATGACAAACTAAAAGGGAAAAAAAGTAAAAACACCGTTTAGTTTGAATTGGCAAACTGGTAATGTAGATTAAAGTAAAAGGGAAATAAATGAAAATACAAGACAATGAAGTTTTTTTTATTTTTGAAAGAGACAAGACAATAAAGTTTCAATCGCTAAAATGGATTTAAATATTAAGAATAGTCAACCATGTCATTTAAAAAATAGGGTCATCATAAAAAATTCGGGTGCCAATAAAATCCCCTGTAAAAGATGGCGATTTTAGGGTGTTTGGATTGGAACTGCAGTCGTGTTGTTGTTTGTGTTTTTTTACTAATTTCGTCGGTAGTAGCTATTTATTTTCGGTGGTTTGTTTTTATTTTGGATAAAACCAATCTTTTTGGGGGGTTTTAATGGATTACACATGACAATCTCATTTATTGACGTGGCACCGACTTTGCTTACATGGGAATGGTTTTTGGTGACAGTACAAAAAATGACTGACTTATCCGTTTATTTCCTTAATAATGACCTTTTAAACACACAAATATAGACTTAATTCTCCGTACAAAAATAAATAAATAAATAAGCATAATTTGAAAACAAACATAAAAAGTTTGTAGGGCTAAATTGACATTTTTCTTTTTTATTTTATTTGTGCATGTATGTTTGGTAAAAATAGTTTTTGGTTTTTAAAAGTATAAAATTTCATGAAAATTAAAAGGTAAAATCTCACAAAAGCTACTTGAAGGATTATGAGATTTTTGTTTAAAATAAAATTTATGAAGGATTATGAGATTTTTGTTTAAAATAAAATTTAAAAGCTTTGTTGCTGAACGAAACTTTTTGTTTTTCAAGATTTTTTTATGGCTCCCAAACAACTATGTGTCGAATAAGTCATAATATGTTTTTTTTAATAATTTTTCTGTGGACAAAATAAAGATATTTCATTCTTTACCTGAGCAAAATAAATCTGAAAACCCAAAAGTGACAAAAACTGAAAAACCAAAACCACAACCGAAACCTATGGTTTGAGTTTGAGTTTTTTAAAAACCGAAAATTTCGTTTTGGGTTCCGTTTCAGAAATTCCAGAAACCGAAAAAAAAACTGAACCGAACCGAAATTATGAAATTATATAAAAATATAAATATATTATATACGCATTTTATTATAATGTTGTGAAAGCTCCACAAATACTAAATTATCCAAATGGTTAAGGCGCTGAACACTTAAAAGCGGGATGCCCAGTTTCAAATCTTGGCTTTTGACATGGAGGGTTTTATTTTGTTTGACAATGGTTTATCCTATTCCAAATTGTTTCTCTTAATTCTCAAATTTGTCCCACATTGGACAAAACATGAAACACAGGTCATATTCATCTTTTATATAAGCAACACCAGCAAATCAATTCTAGCAATTTAAAGTTTTGTACAGGTTTGGGTTTAAACTAGGCTGTTAAGTAGGTCAACCCGATCGGATTTTGGGTTAAATGGGTCGGGTTAATCAGGTTTCGTACAAAAATAATATCACCCGAAACCCAACCCTATTAAGGCATGGGTTAATCGAGTTCGGGTTATTCGGGTCCGGGTTTATAGGGTCGGGTTAATCGGGTTACATTGTAAGATAGAAATGTTATGCCATATTTATAATAAGGTTTATCTTTATAAACTTAAATTGTGAAGTGGTAAATCCAAATGAATGGAAATGGTTTATTGTACTTGTTTGTATTGTACAGGTACACATGCATTTGATTTGAGGTTATGTATTTTTTATTTTAGGCCACTAAACTACTATTGCATATTATTTCTATAATTCTACTATATTTTATTTTTCTCTTTTTTAGACCACATAATGTACAAAAATAGAAGACTTGAGGTAGAATGAAATATGTAAATGTTGTAGTATACCTTTATTCGGGTTAATCGGTTAACCCGAAACTTGATTTTTATAAAAAAAATCAACCCTAAACCCAACCCTAACTATAGTTCGGGATTTTTGGGTTAGACCGAATAACCCGATTAAGAATTTTGACAATATTTAACCCGACCATAAGAGCAACTCCAACCATAAATCACTAAATTGGTGATTTGTTAACACTAAAATAGTGTTTGCATTCCAACCAATCATTAAAGTTGTGATTTTTAGAGGCCAAGTAGTTTGGCCTTCATGTTTGGTGTGTAAAGTTTGACCTTCATTTTTAGAGCAACTCCAACCATAAAAACACTAAAATGGTGTTTTTTAAAGGTTGATTGGAATGAGAACACCACTTTATTGGCCTTTATAATTGTGTTTTAGTGGTTGGTTGGAGTTGGTCTAAGTGTCTTATTCGGGTTAGGGTTAGGGTCGGGTCGGGTTAATCGGATTTGTTTTTTTACACCGCTAGTTTAAACTCAAAACCGAGTTTGGAAAACCAAATACCCGAAAGACCGAACACATCAGTTTGGGTTTAGGGTTTGGTTTTAAATATTTGAAAACTGATATCATTAGTTTTGGTTCGGTTTTTGGTCCAAACCGACCCATGCTCTACCCTACTTTACATGTTTACATAGTTTACATTAAGCCAAAATTTCAATGACGCCAATACAAACATTGCCCCCATTGTGCATCTTTGTAAGTTATTCAATCGTAAATGTCTCTTAAGATTTCGTTTGTAACCACTTTATTTTATGTTATGCATTTGTTAAGATTGCATCATTTTTAACCAACTTCATAACCGGTAAGTCTCCTCCTGTGGTATGTAAAAATTTATGGAAATGTTTCATTTGTTATTCCATTTGTCAACTAAACTTTCATTTCACTGCATCTTTAGTCCCTAGGTGTAACAATTGTTAGTGAAGTACCATTAAGTGCTATCATGTGGAAGAAACATACGTTGCTTTGGTCTTTTTCTTCCCATTCACTCTTCTATATCGCTTAATACCTTAAGGGCGCGTTTGGTAAGGGGTGATTAAGGCAGGAAAGGAATAAAGCATTCAAATGGAATGGCAAGACGTATGTTTGGTTGGAGTAAGGAAAGGATATCTCCATTCAAAAGGGAATCACATTCCCCTTGAACACGCTGTTTTCATTCAAGGGGGTACCCCTGATTTTTTTTCATTCCATTCAAGCGCTATTACACATCTTCCCATTTTGCCCCTGGTATCTATCATGAACGCAGAAAAATCAGCTAGATATCAATTGATTTCCCTCCAAATCGGAAACAAATTAGCAACCACAATCTCCAAAATCGCATAAAATCAGCCACGTATGGCAGCAGATCGTCTCTATATAGGGCTTCATTCGACAATTCTTAGTACTGGTAATCCCCTTTTTAAGATTTCTTTCAAGTTGATCTGAAGTTATACTCATCAAGAAACGTCATTTGTGAAGGTTAGCATCTCTCTGCCTTTATTTTTGTTTATCTAATTTCTGAATGTGTTCTATTCATTGCGTGTTCTTCTTTCTGTGTGCCACTGATATCATATAATTAGAGTTGTAAATTATTGTTTGTATGTTGTATAAATCTAATAAGAAAACTTGAATTTTGTAAAAGGGGGATGAACATATGTTGTGTATATGCCTGTAGATTTAGATTGAATGGGATATAGGATTAACAAGAATCTTTCTAAACGCTAGAATGTTGTTTCATCCCTTTATTCAGGTCAAATCATTAAAACTTTTTTTAGCTGTCGTTCTAAAAAGAAAATCATAAAAACTTTACATTCCAACCATAAAGCTCTTTGTATTTCATATAGACCCTAAAAACGAAGAGTTCTATACCCATCTTCAGATTCCAAGATGGTGTCATTTCAGGGGGTTTTGATGACAGGTCTGGAAAAAAATCTGTCACAAAATATGCATGCAAGAAGAAGATACCATATCCAGGGATATGTAATTTGTTCATGAAAAAAAACAAGCAGACACACACACACACAGTTTCCCACCAGTTTGACGTGGACAAAAGAAATATGACAAGTTTGATGATAGATTTACCAAAAAAACACATAAAAAAACATAGACCATAAATCCAAACACACGACTAAAGTTTAGTTTGACCTTAAGAAACCATGAGATCTGAGTCACAAAGTCTAGTTTCCATCTGATGATATGCATATATTACATACTACTTCATATATAAAAAATTTCCAAACTCAACTCACCTCAAAAGTCAGAACCTTCTCATGTACTTATTCCCAAGACCGGTTATGGTAAAATCAGTTGGGTTCCTGTTTAACAAACACACCAGGGTCCTCCTCTTACCTGGCGTATCGGTAACCACCGGAACCGGATCCTTTGACCCACCCACTCCCACCAAGGGCTGACCCACAACAGTCCGCCCAGTCCCACTTGGCATGTCATATGAACCACACCTTTTCGGATTAGCCTCTAGTGCCACCTCAGCTTCAACCATTAATAAATTTTATATGCTTTCAATATTTCATTATTTTACAAAAATTTATTACTATTGCAGTTATGGCTCGCCTTAAAATGAATAGACAAAAAAGAACAAAGAAACTTGCTGCATTTAGTACATTGTGGATTGAGATAATCAGTTTGGTAAATTGGTATTTTCAACTAGTGAGTATTATTATTGCCATACATATATTTATGTGTCCAACTAGACCTCGCTACAAGATGTTATACCCAGAGAGAAAGCAGTATATGCAAAGATTAGTGTACGAAAGTGATGAGACTTGTACACAACAATTAAGAATGAATATGGTAACGTTTGTTAAGCTTTGTCGTATGGTTGAGATTGATGGCAAGTTAAAGGCCTCTAGGTATCTCCAAATTGACGAACAAGTGGCAATATTTTTGTATGTTTTGGCCCACCATGTGAAAAATCGTGTAGCGAAGTTTTAGTTTCATAGATCAGGAGAGACAATTAGTAAACATTTCAATAATGTACTCAATGTTGTTATTCGGTTGGAAAAAGAATTGTTTAAGAAACCCGAGCCTATATTAGAAACTTCAACTGATGAAAGATGGAAATGGTTCAAGGTATGTGATTTGCTAAACTCGAGTGTATATAGATTATTCTTGGTTAGTATTCTAATTCTCATACATATTTAATTTTAGCTATAGGGATGTTTAGGAGCAATAGATGGGACACACATAAGTGTACGTGTACCAGAGGCAGACAAACCTAGATACAGAAATCGAAAAGGCGAAATTACAACAAATGTACTTGCTGCTTGCACTCCTGATATGCAATTCATTTATGTATTACCAGGCTGGGAAGGATCCGCTGCAGATGTTAGAAAACTTGGCTAACTCAATGTTTAATTCTTGGAGATCAACGATGAGGAGGATACAGATCTTGGATCACAAGTCGAGCACATAACAACAATTGGAACATCGAATGAATGGACGACTTTTAGAGAAAACTTGGCTAACTCAATGTTTAATTCTTGGAGATCTAGGCATAACTGATTTCTTATTGTTGCATTAAGTACATTGTGATAGATTTTTATGGAATTTTAGTAATAAAGTGTTTTCAGTTGTGTTTGATAGTGACTTGTTATATATTTAGTTAATGTTTCTATAGTTCTTTATGTATCTTTTTTTTAATTGTCAAGGTATGGAGTCACAAATTCATGGTGATAGGGGACCAAGAAAAAATAAAAGGAAGTGGAATGATATAGAAGACGAGAAACTTGTTGAAGCTATGGTTGATATACTCAATTCAGGTTCTCACTTTAAATCTGACAATGGTTTTAAGCCTGGGTTCTTTGGTGCGGTGGAAACACGACTTGCAATCTCACTTCCCAACTCGGGAATAAAAGCAAAACCACATATTGAATCACGCATAAAAACTTTGAAGAGCGATTGGTCTGCGGTGCATGATATGATGTCATGGAACAACACAAGTGGTTTTGGATGGGATTATGAAAATAAGATGCTTGAAGCTCCTCAATCTGTTTGGCAAGCATATGCTATGGTAATGTTTTTAATTGAATGATCTAAAACTATTTTTTAAGTATTTTTAGCATAATGTATTATTTATTTATTTTTGGTTTTTTTTTTAGGTACATAAGAATGCTGCAAAATGGAGAGGCAAAAAGTTTCCTCATTATTAGGACCTATGTCTTGTATTTGGGAAGGATCGTGCTAATGGAAGAGATGCTCAAACAGCAGCGGATGTTATATCTGAGATAAATAACGAACAACAGGATCCAGACGATTACATGCAAGGAACTGGAGATGGGTTAGAGGATATAGATGTTAATGCTCCTGTGAATAGTCCTACATATGCTCATTCTAAAGAATATTCGAGTACACAACGAAAGAGAAAAAGAAGAAATAGTTGGGATCCTTTGATGAACAGCTTGAAAGATTCGGCAGATATAATTGGTTCAAAGATTGATAATGCAACAAGTACCTTTAATGCGGTTTTTGGGATTGAGAGAGATAGAGAAGACCTACGTAAAAAACTTAATTCTGAGATGAAAAAAGTTGTTGGTTTAACTGTCCGTGATTGTAACAAGGCAGTTCGTATGCTTTCAAAGAATGATGAGTTGATGGTAATCTTCTTTACCGTTGAGGATGAAGACAAATTTAAATGGGTAAAGGACTTGCTTGAAGATGATGCTTAACGTTATTTATATGGTTTTTTATGATATTGCAGTTTTTTAAGTTATGAAAATTATGATAATTTTAGTTTGTTAGTGTTGGTTAGACTTTGATATGTTTTTATGAGATAAAGTTTTTTATTATAAATAAAAGTTCTTATTTATATAAACCATTTAGAATAGAAACTATAATTTCCAAATACATAATGTTGAATTTTATTGAATTCTATGAATTTTGTGTTGTAAGGGTATTTTTGTCATTGTAAATTATTTTTTATTCCATTACTTTCTCTTTTTTGTACATACCAAACAACATGGATGAATGAGTCATTCCATTCCATCAACTAACCAAACATGACAATGGAAGGGTAATGAAACATTCCATTACCTCATCCATTCCATTACTTAGTCAATTCCATTCCTTTGTCATTCCATTCCACCCAACCAAACACACCCTAAGTCAATGGTTTGCTTTCTCCCTTCTCAAGTCAGGAGTCATGTCTTCATCCTTTTTTTTTTAACTCCATGGCTCCCTCCATTTTCATATAATAGTGTGAATATTTCCTTCCAATATCCTAGTGTAATTTATATTTTAATTTTAATTTTAACGAGGAAGTATTATAAAACTTACAAAAAACTAGAAACAAACAAAAAAATTACAAAGGTATAACCAATAAAGGGTTATGTAGCCAAGAAACCCAACTCATTTTTAGTTTGATATTTCTTTGAACAAGATTAACAGAATACAAAACACTTCTATCAAAAATTGATTCCCTACAACAATCTTTAGTGTTGGAATATAGTGCCCATAGCCACAACTAGTATGTAATATTACTATTAATGGTGGTATCCTTTTGGGTTACATGCAAGGATAAAATTGAACAATTAATGACACAAGAGAATTATAAGAATCTAGTTTGTTAATTAATTAAGTGTATAACTAATTAATGGAAACTTGTAGATTATCAAGGAATTAAGTGAAAAGATTTGAAAGTCAAATCTTTTGGATAATTACTTGTCTTATATATAAATACTAGATAATGAAAGATCTTTACGGTCAAGAATCATTATGAAGTGATATTTGCTAATAACATATGATCCTATACGGTTACACCTTATAACAATTGAACACTAATTGATTATTTATTAAGTAATATGATTATTAATAAAACAAATCAACACTTGTATTTAATTGGACAATTATTGTTTTATGAAAAATAATAATTTAAGAGAGTATAACTAGTTACATTTAATCACATAGTATGATTTAAATGTCATGTTCAACATTATGGACTTATAGAAGACCACTAGTATATATTATGTACATTATAATAATAATATGAAAGTGCTAGTAACTCCATCCCTTTCTCTCTATATAGAACCGTCCATATAAGGACAAGTATGGAGGGTTTATTTGCTTTAACTTTCACTTACAATTCATGGGTTACTTGCAAGTCATGAATTCACTAAATGAAAGCTAATTCATTAAATGAAAGCACGGACTTTCATTTACATGTGTGAGTATATGAGAGAGAGAGAGAGAGAGCTTGCTGGTTTTTGTTCTTTCCTTTTTCATGAAAGTCGAGAGCTCCTTGGCCCTCCCCTCTTCTCCCTCTAGCAAATAGTTTGTGTAGTTTTTGGTATTTTAGTTGCTTCTCTTTTGAGAACTTATTTTATACAAGTCTTAGAGGCTTAAGAACAACTACACACAAGTGAAAGACTAACATACATTGGTGGTTTGGTGACATGTTTGGTGGATACACATAGAGAGATTCTTCTTTGAATTTTTTTCCATCTTCATCAACATTCTAGCATCCCCTTGATGATTCAAATGACTACAAAGGTTGTTATACTTTTACTTCATTTATGGTTGTTGTTTTCTTTCCAATTTTGAAAGTAGATCCTTTGTTGGGTATAAACTAGTTTTTGTTGTTCAAATTTATAAAAGTCTTCAATTGCTAATCTTGTGTTTTTGAAACAATTTTTGAATAAAAACCAAACAATTGATATCAGAGCCATCTTTCAAGCTTGGTTAGAATTTATGATTATTTGGATAATCTTGGCTTTTGGAAAATATGGATAGCTTGGTTTTTGTTAAAAACAAGTTCATAGATATTTTCTATGACAACTTTATAATTGTTATTTTATGAGACAAAAATTTAAATGCATATTTTTTCATTTAAAGTTGTCTTGGAAAAATAAAGGTTGTTTTATGTGTTAATTTATTTTAGAGTGCATAAACAAGTCATTTACCTTATTGTGTTGTTTGTGATGATTCATTAAAATGGTTGTAATATTCTTTTTTTCATATGGTGCGTAATAATAAACAACTAGTTTTCATATTTATTATTTTGTAAGTAATAGATTAGTGTTTGACTAGTTTATTTTATAGAAAATGTAAAAAAAATGAAAATGATGACCATTTTGAAGAACCATGGTGGTACCCATATATTTATATGAGTTCTATAAAAGTTTATAACTTTTATAAAATTGCTACAAAGTATATTGTCAAAGAAAATGGGAGCATGAAGAACAACATGAAGATTTTGGTCAATTTTGACACTTAGGAAAGGACTTAACTCTTTTATGTTAGAGTCATGGCTTGTTTTGTGCTAGCATGCATGCTTATATTGTTTATTTAAATGTTGTTATTATGTGTGGTTGACAAATTAGTTATCACATGCTCAAATAATATTTTGGGCAAAATAAATATCACATGAAGTTTGGTTTTTCAAAGTTTAAAATGTGAACATAAGATGTAACAAGTTATGGTTTAAAAAAACATTTTTTTTATTAAAACCTTAATAACGACAAATTTTGAAATAATAAATTATAAGTCTAAAGATTGTTGTTTTGGTAAAAAATTAACAAACTAATTTTGTAACCAAATTAGTAAGTGTGGTGTGATGTTAAATATCTTGAAATATGCCAAAGATATTGGTCGTGCCCAAGATCTTGGGTAGAAAACTAAAATGTTCAGAAAAGTTTTTAATGAAAATATAATGTTTCGTAATATGAATAAGTGTATCATTGGGACAAATATAGTGATAAAGTGATTAATAAGTGAATATGCATAATAGAGCTTTAAGATACTCAAAAAAGATACCAAGATACTACAAAGTATCTTGATAATTTCGAAAAAATAAGTTAACAACCAAGAAAACAATGAAACAAGGGCTTGTCAATAAAAAAAATAGTAAGAAAATCAAAATAAATGTATAAACACAAAGAATTATGAGGAAAGCCCTTAATGCTTTTGGATCTCCGGCATAAAACCTCGGGAGGTGATAAACTCACATGCCTTAGAACTTATATTAAATCGTAAATAAATGATACAAGTACTAGCTGATCTTGGAAAGAATGTATTTGTGCTCAAGTGTCGAGAGTATCAGAGAACAAGTGAAAGTGGAAGTGTATGTGTGCATACAATCAAATAGTGTTTTATACATAACGATAATAACTAAAACTCCGAGAATATTGGGATTCCCCTTGATCTTCGCTTGACCCGACTTTCTTGAGGGTTTTCAACGTTCTTTAAGTATTGACCACATATTATTGACCCGATCAAATTCTTTTCTGTTAAGCCTTGAGTCCCTGCACAAGATTTTTACAGAATATATACGGTGTTAGACCAAGATATTGAATAAATCCAAGATCTTGGCTTGCTCAGGATGTTAGTTCAAGTTCAAGATATAAACGATAAGTCAAAATTTCTACCCACAAAATTACCCCTAGAAATCTTTAATCCAACATCCTGGGTGATTGGAGATTTCTAACGTTTGAAAATGGATCACGCTAATGTGATGTGGCCCATGTTTCTAGGGTCAATCTTATCCATCGATTATCCTGGGAAGTTTGAATTTTGAATGGCCGAGATTTCTGCTTGAAAAAAACTCTTATAAACTCACTCCATTGCTTTCTTCCTCTAGTTACTCTATGAACATCAGGGTTTTCTACTTAGTTCATTTCTCTCTTTTCCATTCTCGTATTATTATTGTTTGTTTGATCATGAGAAAAAGACTAGTTTGAGCTAGGGCTAGATTGGAGAAACATGTTGTCGAGGATTTCATAGATTTAGGTTAGTTTCCTGAGAACGAAAGCAAAGTAAGCAGCTTTTCGAATGCCGACATCGATGTGCTTCGATTGTTAGGTAAGTTTCCTCAAGGTACAATCTTTAAGGTTCCTGGGCCAAAATTAAGGGCAAATTATCTTTCTCTATCTTGGGTTTTCTTTTACGGGTTTCCTTTTTCCATTGGTCTATCCTTTCCTTTTCCTCTGTTGATTTTTGAGTTCTTTCATGTTACCAAACTCTCTTATGCCCAAGTCATGTCAGTCGTTTGGCGTATTCTATTTTGAATTCATCAACTTAATGAAACCAAGGGTTTGAGTCTTGGGCTATATAGCGAGTTTCTATAATCTCCAATCTTTTGGTTATTTCAAATGGTTCTCAAAGTGAAGATTGGTAGTCCTCATTTAGTCTTAAAATGTTCTCCGATGGATCATGATTTGAAAGGGAGATATTTCTTCGTCAAGGATAGTTCCCTTAGAAAAGACCTTATTTCCCAGGATTGGCTAAATGAGGGTATGGATCCTGTATTTTGGGTATTTTTATTTCGTGTTATTTGACTGATTTTGATTCTCTTATTTTGCCCTTGGACAATCTTGGAGTATGAAGAGATTTTTCCTCTTCAAGAGGATACTAAAGAGAAGGTCCAAGAATTCCTGAGGCTTTTAGTGGAGAAAAGAAGCTTTGGCCTGGTAGAGGCTTTCCTTTTAGGAAACTTTAACTCATCCATCGTGATAGAGAACTCAAAATCAATCATGTCTACAGGTACGTCGCATGATATTGCTACTTGATTTATTCCTATCTTGTTTGATAATATTGTTTTGCTATCATGAGCAAGGAAAATCGTTCAGGTGCTCTCCTCAGTACTTTTTTTCAATGTGGACGACTTCCTTTCTACAAATATTGTTGTGAAAGTTGAGAAATCCACTACTATAGGTGCAAGGAAATTGGAAAGCAA